GCCGTAGGCCGGATCCGGGGATGCGTCCCCACTGCTTTAACGAAGGGCCGGAATTCCCGTGGAGCCATACAAGTTGGTGTTTCCAGAGTCGTGGGAGCCCCACTTTTCTTCTAAGGAATATGTACAAGTGGCCATTCACTCGGCGGCGCAACAGCTCGGCTAGGGGTCGGTCACGCTCCGAGCACACAGCCCGAATACTTGCCTTGGACTGCTCAAGCTTTAGATGTTTACTCAAACGGATTGTTCCATGCTGATCAGGTTTGCTTTTGTGATTCTTCTGCTAAGCCAAATTATTGCAAAGCTTCGCCAAAGGGTTTAAGGGTTTGTCAAGGCGACGGTTGAGCTCGGAAATACGACCTGGTGAACTACTGGCACTGCGGTGTCGTCTCAGAAGCTAGGTTTCGTCTGACTTGGTGAGAAGTTCGGTTTTGCTTTTCATGTTTACTTGCATCCTACACTCCGCAGTGTGAAGCTTCCACTTAGAAGGGTTGTGCACGAGTGGAACTCTGAGCCCTGTTGTGCGCTGCGATTGCACTGTTTTGGAGCCCATGGACTGTCTTGCGCTCCCTACCAGGGCGATTCCGGCGCGAGGCGGACCTTCTCCAAAACGAGGTGGGAAGCTCTTCGGGGACCTGTAGCCACTGTAGCCCCGAGCCCTAGGCATCTTTCAAAAGGCCGCTTGCCGGTGCCTGAATTTTAAATTGCGGGCTCGGAGCACTTCAGATGCTTCGGATGCGAGCCACTTGTCATTGCCCTCCATCCCCACGCGCACGGCTAACCTAACACACCGCGAGGTGGAATGCCATGCTGCCTCGTACGACAATGCCGGAGGCACGCAGATCCATCTGTGGGCGCATCTGTTTGCCGAGAGCTGAAGCACGGCAGATCAGAGAGGCTCCTATCGCAACATTCCAGGTTCTTTCACATGCTGCGTCATGGCCCCCCTTGGCCAAGCGGGACGCATGGCAGCGTTTTACAATTTAGCAGCATCTGCAGCCTCTCAGCAAGATTGCTTTTGCGACAGGCTCTGGCATGCCCTCACCACTGACAACGCTTCAACAGCTCGCACAGGCTCGCTTGGCTCTCGTGCGGCTCAACTCCTCGACAAGATTGTATGTCCTTCTCAGCGGGGCTTGGGGTTGTGGAATAGAGAGTCCGAAACGCTGTGTCTTCGGTTCTGAATTTCATGCCCGTCAACGTCGAGAAGGCAAGTCCCATGCGAAAGAGTTATTCCGGATGCTCCAAATTCGGGCTCACGAAGTTCAAGGATGATGTTCTTCTTGAGACAGAAACTCCCGGCGATGAAGTTGGGGAGCAGCCCCTTGCAAGATCGAGCATGTCCTAAGAACGCACATTGAGCTGAACTCATAGGATTAGGGATCCGCTTACCGGGATGATCCTGGCATCTGTCCACAGCGGAACATGGTGGACATTGCAGAAAGGGCCTGTTGTTTGGTACACCAGCAGAAAATGAAGATACTACCAGGCGGGAGAGCCCTTGAAGAGAGGCTTTCCGATAGTTATAAGTTATATACATTGTCGTGGAGCTTGGACATGCATGTCTTGAGCCGGGCTCAAGAGCTTCTGCAGCCAAACGGTTTCGCTCCGTCACGATGGCCTACTGCGGCGACTGCGGCTACAACCGGGCCGCATCTGACTGTGACTACGGCCTGTGTGGCGGCTGCTGCGACCACGGGGCATGCCACCGCCACGGTTGGTTTGAGCACGAATGTGAAACGTGCGGCCGACTCTTCGAGAATCAGAACAACCTGTACCAGCACATGCGAACACACATGCCCCGAAACAAGTATTGCCCAGCATGTGGCAAATTTGCCAGCTCTTCGGTCTCTGGCGTGACGATGCACTTGGAGAACGGGCACTGTCCCGTGTGTCGGGATCAAGGTGCAAGTCAGGTGAAGGACTTCGTCCGCCAGAGAGCACCCCAGTTCCTTCGCCCGGCGATTTGCGACGGCAGCGCCAGTGAAAGCTCGGACGAAGTTCCGTACTGCAACATCTGTGACCGATCTTTCGGCAGCTTCGGTGCCTTGTTTCAGCACAGAGAAGCCAAGCACTCGCAAAGCGGCTCCCAGCTCAAATTGACCTGGTGAGATCTGCGTGCTTAGACGCAGAGTATTTTTTGCTCCAGGGGTGTTCAGGACTGGGCCGAGTCTCAGATGGGCCCTTCACTGGCCCTTCTGCTTGCAAACCTCCGTCCGAAACGAACTTTCTTGACCTCAAGCACTTGCCATGCGCTTCTTTTTCTAGTCAGAGTCGGATGAGGACGAAGCGGCAGACGATCCAGATGATGATGATGATGATGAGTCGGAGCTGCCGCTCTCAGATCCATGAATCTGCCGGCGTTTCTTCTGCAAAACTTCCTGCTTGGCTTTCTGGCTGCGACGGACACGCACCAGTCTCTTCTCCCGCTTCCGGAGGTGTTCATTCAGATCTGGCAAGAGCGAGCGCTTTCGCTGAAGCATATCAGGGATGTAATCTTTCT